GACATGTTTAAATGTGTAATGGAAAAATGTGGTTTGAACTGGAAGAAAAATTTAGTCGGCCAGTCTTACGACGGTGCTGCAAATATGAGRGGGTCATACTCTGGACTCCATGCACGAATTCTTGATGAAAATCCAAAAGCTCTTTTTGTGTGGTGTCATGCCCACAGATTAAATTTAATAGTTTTATCTGYTGTTGGATCTTGTATAGAAGCAGTAGATTTATTTGGGAATATGGAAAAACTTTACTGTTTTATAACATGCAGTAAAAARAGATCAGACATTTATAGAATGAAGCAAAAAGAAATTTATCCAAAAAAACAAGTACATGCAATAAAAAGAGTTGGTACCACAAGATGGATGTCAAACTCATTTGCCTTAGCAACAATTTTTGAAACACTGGAAGCAATATTGGATACGTTAGAGGAAGTTAAAAATCAAGATAGCTCGTCAGATTATAAAATAGCCACTGAATGCAATGGGCTATTAATTTATTTTCAGTMTTCTCGTTTTATTGTAACAGCATTTATGTKTAAGCATCTGTTTGATATTCTAGGGCCTTTAAGTAAATTATTTCAAGGTAGAGATTTAGACATTTTGGCTGCCGTCAATTATTTAAAAAAAGCAGAAAATAATATTATGATGCGTAATGATGAAGTTTTCAATGATATTTTTGAAGAAGCAAAATCATTTTCAGAAAAACATTTTGGTGATTTTGAAATAAATAATTTACGATCCTTTAGGAACAGGAAAAAAAAAGTTGTTCGACAAATCGGAGAGATAACTTTTGATGAAACTATTGAGAATCCAGTTCAATACTTTAAAGTATCAGTATATTTTGTAACAATCGACATTATAATACAACAGATTCATGACAAGTTTAATCAAAATTCAGTATCAGTCATGAAAGATATTGGTCTGTTATCATTAAAAATAATGAAAAAAAAAACTGATCTCTCTCAAGATGCATTTAAAATGATATGCAATGTGTATGGATTAAACCAAGAATTAATCAAAAATGAATATATCAYGTTTAAAGAGATTGTTAAAGATTTAGATTTTAACTTGTTATTAAAGCTACCAGAAAAAATCCATGCAGACTCTGATGAAGACAACATTCATAGTGACGATGAAGAAAGTGATGGGGAAATAGACAATTATAAAAACATGGCAAGTTTGATAAATATTTTTGAAACAATGAATAACGCCAACATAAAAGCAGAATTCGAAAACTTATATAATATAATCAAACTAAGCTTAACACTACCAACGTCTAGCTGTACAGTTGAAAGAAGTTTTTCAAAATTCAAATTATAAAAACCAGGCTACGTTCAACGATGGAACAAACAAGATTAGAAAATTTAATGCTCATTTCATGTGAACATGATATAAATATTGATATTGATAAAGTAATTATTGCATTTTGTACTTAATTTTAATAAAAACAATTGTTAATCTAAATTATTTTATTTATTTTCAGGTAATAGACATTTTTGCTGGAAAATCATCAGTTTTGACTAAATTATTAACCTTTTAATTTTATTAGTCATTACTCATTAGTCTTAACATATTTTATGTTTATTATTTATAAACTAAGTTAAAATAAATATATTTTCATTTTTCAACAGTCAGTATCTTAAATCTATATTTTTATATTTTAAGGATTTTAATTTATATATTTTTGTAGCATCCTAAAAATTTATTTGTAACCTAAAAATTTGCTTTTGGGAAATATCTATGTATGTACATTGTACATAATATAAATTATAATTAATATATAGTCCCCTGGTGTTTGTCGAAATCTGTGATTTTTCCTCAGAATAAAATGTTTATTCAGTTTTTTAAATAATTAGTGAGAAATTAACTATTTTTATTTATTTTTTCTTTTAATACAACTAAATATTTAGTAAAATTGTGTTCCCTGTTGGGACAGGATGTATCGGGGATGTTTTAACGTAGGATGGTCAAACTCGGATGKAATCCATTGGACATTTTTTCACTAACATACAGACACGATAATAATACAATTTGTATACGTACAACATATTATTTGATGTAATTTTTTATTTACCACCTCCTCCCACCCAAATTTTATATTGTTTTTTACGGCAATAGGGTTATTAAAATAGTTAATATATTGAGGCCACGAAGTTTTGAAATTGCCYGACCACATTTTAAAAACTTCGGCGCCACTGCCCCAGATGGTACATTAAATTGATCAAATTCAAAGGTTTGAGAGAAAAGAGCGAAACCAGGAAAGTAGAGAGTCAAAAACCCAAACAGTTTTAATTTCATAAACAATATTKCATGGTTTATGCTATCAAATGCATTCGACATATGAGTGTAAATGATATCGGTTTGCGAATGAGCTACGAAAGAGTCAAGTTTTAATTGTTTATTGATAGCAATATTCAGTGGCGGATTTGAGGGGGGGGCGACGTGGCGATTACCCCTCCCTAGGGAATTGTTTTACTTAAACTATAGCGCCGTATAATAAAAAGAATATGAAAATTCATAAGTCATAGCTATAACATTAAACTTATGAATAAATGATACAAAAAAAAGKTATTTTTTTTTAATATGAAAATCGGAAATGTGTATTCGGTTACGTCTTTGTTATTACCTATCAATCTATGAKACCAATTCGCCCCCTCCTCAAATGATCTTCAGATCCGCTACTGGCAAGATTATAATTAGCTGATCGTTTAGGTCTAAAACCATATTTATGATGAGTCAGAAATGTGAAGCAATAATTATCAATTTTAGTAGAAATTAGTTTTGAAAAATATTAGGAATTACTGATATTTAAAATATTGGCAGATAGTAAGAAACATTTGTGGGGTCACCTCTATTAAAAACAAGGTAAATAAAAGAGTTTCCTCCATAAGTCAAGAAATATTTCAATTTGGAGCGATAAGTTAAAAATATAGGTTAAAGTTGGAGTTAGTTAGTATAAATCTACAATTTTYGAGGAAAAAGCCTGAATTGTTATTGGGACCTAAAATTGTCAGGGCGAGTGCTAAGCTCGTTTAAAACTTCGGCCTCCGTAAACATAAGCAATATAGACGAAAAGGAAAACGAATAATTTTAATAGAGAGGAATAGTGGTTAGCTTGTCTAGCTGAGGGTAAATTTTAAAGAAAAATTTAGCAAATAAGTAAACAATATATCATGTGCATTATCAGCTGACGTTGGGTCGAGCGTAAGGAGATTTGGTATTGAATTATTATTTCTACGATTATTAACGTATTTCCAGAAATACTTTGGGTTTGATTTGACAGATAGTTGAACTTTATTAATATAGTTCTTAAAATTCAGTTTAGCAGTTCTCTTACACTTAGCTCTCAAGCGGGAAAAACTATTATACCTAATCAGATCTATCGATAAATTTTTTATTCAATGTATGAGCAATTTTTTTCTGTGTCAATAACATTTTTTACTCGGTAGAATACCAACAGGAAAAGCTGCTTGATGGAACACGCTTTTTCGGTACAAAGGTACTAATTGCTTTGTTTAAACAATTATAAAGGTGGTTAATTWAATCATTAAGGCTAAAACTATTAAAAGTACTATAAGATAAATTATCAGCTAAACATTTAACAATATCAATATAGTTACAATGTTTAAAATCATAAAAACAATCTGTTGGCTTAAGTATATTAAACTGATTATAATCAATAGTAACATTAAGAGCCGGGTGATGCTTAGSTAATGGTAATAGTGGGTCAGGATCGTCAGAAACATTAAGGTGAGCGTTTGATAAAACTAGATCTAAAGTTATATTATTTTCGTTAAGAACATGGTTGAGCTGATTAAAGTTAAAATAAGATAGCATATTTACAAAATAAGAGCAGTTAATTAGAAGGGATATGTGAGTCCAGCGAATTGATGGTAAATTAAAATCCCCTAATATTATAAATTTTGTAGGTGGATAAGCTAAGTATAGATCATTTAAAACGGAAAAAAAATGTTCGTACGTTATTAATGAGAAAAAAGGAAGTATATAAACGCAGCCAATAATTAAATAATTAAATTAATAATTAATAATAAAATTGTATCATCTATCTGTAAATGTACAAAATSTGCTTCAACGTTATTGATAGAATTATTTAAAATTTTACATTTGATTGTATTTTTTACTGCAATTAAGACGTCCCCACTATAAAACCGATTAATTAGTGGCGATCTATCACAACGAAAAATTACCTATATAATTAACAAAGTACAATTCGAAGTTTTATATAGCTGGCGAAAGCCTGCATGTTTCAGTAAATGTAATTAGATCAAAAAGAAAGGTATTCTGATGCTAAGTACCTACACAGCTTTATTATCTTTCCATTTAAATATGACGATTCCAGAAGTAGAAAATCTATGGTCGAAATCTCCACGCTTAATATCCGAATATTTTTTACGGTTTTGAGGCATTCCTTAAMGATTATTTCGTATAGTAGGTACCACAAGTCAATGTCTGTTCATTTTTAATCTTTCCAAAAGTGTAATTGATGTAAAATAATTATCAAATAATATGATTCTTTGTTGTTTCAGAAAAGGTTTAGTCAACATAAGTACTACCCTTTCACCCAAATTATACAAAACGAATTCTTGTTCTAAAGTTTCATTTTTGCYTTGGTATATTGAATATTTCAAAATATAACCTTTTTGATCCACAATGTACCATAATTTATAACCACGTTYGATTAGTTTCATGGGATTATACTGTTTAATTGTACTTCAACCTTTAAATTGTATCATTGATTCGTCAACACTCAATTCACGAGTTCCGTGATAATCTTCAAGAAAAATTTTGTTGAGAGCGTCAATCATAGGATATAATTTATATTATTATATAATTTATCTTTATTATTATTTGATAAATTCGCATTGTTGTCTCTAAATCGATCCCTAGACGTGGCTTTAGAAATCGAACGTACATTTAAATTTTCACTAGTATTCCAATATAACTTATATTATGATGGTAATTTATTGTACCCCATGCAAAAATGTATTCTCCAAAACGCATATAGTTCTTTTTAAGTTAGTTTCAAATTGTTTTTATTTTGTGTTGCATAAAGATTACATTGGTAAATAATGTGGTCGGTTAGGGCGAATACATTTTAGAAAAATATCAGTTGAAGTTTTGCAACAGGCAAACATATTTTCATAATAATTTTTGTACGTCATATTGGGACAGTTCAGCAGTAATTTCATCGTTTTTTTCCATTGTCAATTTATTTCGACATTAGGTTCTGTATTTTTATTGGCGCAACTAGGGGGGTGCAAAAGTGTCTTTAGCACCCCCAAGTTCTAATTTAGCACCCCTTGATATTTTAGATCTAACWATTATAATTATAATGAAATAACATCAATTTTATGTTTTTAATAGTATGGCACCCCACGTTTTAGAGGTCTATTTGCGCCAATGTGTATTTTCAGGAATAACACCTCCATCTACCGGTACATTTAAAAAAATAGGCGTTTGAGAAGTTTGGGACCTCAAAGTTCTAGTACCTACTATATAGACGAATCTGACGAAATACATTGATTTTGATTATTGCTTTCAAGAGAATCAAAAATAATTAAGTCGCCATTGTTAACTATTTTAGTTACTTCAGAAAGTTGTTCATTATGTAAAAAATATTTATCATGTTTTTCTGCCTCATTTTGAGCTTCTTTGTTAGTCAAGATGTCATCCAAATCATTTTCATCTTCAGAATCTTCACCTTCGGGTATATCCATTGTTAGCCATTCTTCAAGATCTTTTCAAGATACYTTTTTAGCACTCATCTTGAAATTGTGTAATCACTATAAGCTTTATATACCTATAGGTATCAGAATTGCACCAATATAATTTTGTTATATTGTACAAAATCTTACCTTATTAATATGTAAGTACCTTTCAATTATTTGATAGTTTTAAATATTAGTTATGACTAGTTATTATTACTTATTTACATGCACGATTAAGTTTAATAATTTTCCCTTGTTAACAAAATTATTATAATATATGTATTAAATATTTCTATACTATTGCTATACTTTATTAATACAATTAGTGTTAAAGAACAATTTATGTACTTATGAACCACTCATTTTGGTCAATTTTAGACGAGTAGTTTATGAGTTATAAGTATTTAAAGTTTAGATTGGTAGAGTGGAGTGGTACTGGGTTACCTACCCCGCAAAATATTT